CCCCAAAACCCCAAAACCCCAAAACCCCAAAACCCCATATAAGAAAACAACAGTAGAACCTAATAAATATTATTACTAATGAGCAAGCAGAAGGGAGACAACTGTAGAAGCCAGATTCAGACTTCTAGTGGTATTGGGCATGAACTCTCTAAGGTAAGCAAACTGAACAATTCAAAGACAACCTCTCCTTGAGGAGGATCACCTTAGTATCCTTCTCATTGAAAAATCTTAGGCTCACATCATGAGTAGGATAGGCTTGGGGTTTAGTACCTTTTTTCATTTTAATATTCCGATTTTGCCTAGTCACAGTACCCTTTTCGAATGATTGAGCTCATATTTATGTTCTATAGGAAATCTACACCAAAGATTGCTTTAGAGCAAACCAGAAAGAGATACTGAACATTCATGTATCTCAGGATACTATAAAAACTGACGACTGCAGTCTTTCATCAAAATCGAAGGCATCTACTGATGAAGTTGACTATAGCTTCTTCAGTCAAGACTTGATAACTCATGGACTCTTTGGAGATATTACTACCACATCTCCTGGGTTCATTGATCCTTTCTACAATCAATCCGATCTATCAGTCTACTCATACTGCCCTCTGACTCCAAAACAGAACACATCGGAGCCAAAGGGAAGACCTGATATTAAGAGAAGAAAGATGCTCAGAAATATCAAGAGGTTTTATTATGAGTTGTTCAAGCACCATAACAATAAATTATTTTATTTGAGACTCAAAAGGATAACTTCCTCTGTTATTATTGAGGCTCTGAGACATTTCTGTGAGGTTTATATTAGCAAGGCACATGCAGAGGAAATGGCTCAGTTCATGTTTAAATTTCTCAACATCAACTGAGCTGGTCATTCTTCTGAAGAATCTAGAGCAATGAGAAATGGAAAGAAGGTTTATGAGTGAACTTATAGCTACAGCATTAGCAAGTTCGACTCTTTGTTTGAATCTGAGCACTTCAGGATACTCATACTATCGTATGCTGAATTGCAACAATCAAGCATTCTTCGCTTACAGGAGATGAAATCTCAAGCTCATTGGCCAAACAGACTTCCAACTCAAGAAGGAAGCTACCTCTCAATCATCTCGAAGCACCTCCTCAAGAGTAGAGGAGCAAAGCTTGAAGCTAGTCTTCAAGAGACTTGCAAGAGGTGCCAATCTTACTAATTACTTCATTAATAAACTTCAACTACAACTTCTTATAATTCAAGCCTTAGTATTAGCAAAGGTGCACTTAATTATAAACCGAATTTTATGTTCTCAAATGCCATGTCAAATAATCATTTTCATTTCGACTCCAAGAGACGATTCCTTTGAATGCTTCTGAGAAATGTTTTTTATATCTTTTCTGAGCCTAGACTCGTCCACTCTCTCACAGTAAAAATAGCTTACTGTTTTGGATAGTACTGAAAATAAGTTACGCACTATTTTAAAACTTTAGACTATTTCTGCTCTTTTAAATTATATTTGGCCAGATAAATTTGTTATCTTGCCATGAAGTCTCAACGTATGAATGAATATCTTGAGTCCTGAATTAGTGCTCGAAAGAGCTCTAACATTCTGAAAATGTACGAAAATTTCAAAATTAATATTTCAAAATACCAGTCAAACTACTGAATCCCAGACAAATCTTCAGATTAGGCCGACTTTTAGAATAGAAAAACAGGTTTTAATAGAGACCAGGACGATTTGGAGTCATGAAATTAGAGTGGCTACCCGGTTAGCTCTCTCCTTGTGTACTCAACCAGCAATAATCTTGCTTCTTCAGTAAATTTTCATACTTTGAACATGAAACAGCACAAAATATAAATATGCACTCATATTATTCATTAGAAGCTAAGCAGGTAGACTAGGTTATAGGCATGACTGGCCTAGCATGATTCTACAAAATGCTAGCAGAATCTATGTCTCTATACCTTCTCATTATGTTTCTGACGATTCTAAATTTTTGGGATAAAAAGTCTACGATACTCTTTAAACAGAAGTTCTTTCTGAATTCAATCGGTTCTGAAAATCTGAACTTTTTTATTAAAATTTTGGCATAGATGTAAAAAGATAATGAGATTTTAGAATGCAATGAGAGCAATAGCAAGCCTCTTCTCGTTTGTTTCCTCCTGATATATCAGTATTGAGGTTTGCTAAATTCTTCCAACTTGAACTGGCTAAGAATTTTCTGATTAGATTCTCGAAACCTGAGAAAGGAAAATCGGTCTTGGTCTCAAGTTCATATCGTTCTCTGAGATATTATTACCTTCGATTATCTAATTGAAGCGAAAAATTACTCTGCTTTCTGGCTTAACTTACCAAAATGAAATGTAGTATCTACTCCTCTCTCGGGTTCGAAAGAAAGATGAATTTTCTTATTGAATGATGTCCAGTAACTTAGATAAAAGTTTTAAAATTAGGAGTTTTAGACTTGAAGGAAATACTAATTCATAGGAATCAAACTTTTACCAAATTTGATTTTTGATTCCAAATACCTCTTGGAAGCATTAGGTAAATTATTATTGAGGAAAAGTAAATCAGGTTATTACGTCCCTGAAACTGCGTCTCCCATAGGCACAATGGTTAGCTTTCCCAATTATTTTCCTGTATCGAATCACATATTTTAAAATTTAATGTATAAAAATCCAACTAAGTCCGCAATTTTTAGAATCCTTCCTTAATTTCTGACTACGAGTAATTTAGCATAATTTTTACAAAATTGGTGTCCTTTATTAAGAAATTATCCGGCAGCCTCTGCTAAGTCTTTTATTACAACAATAGGCAAAAAGTACACTATTGGTGCAGCTAACTAGAAGGTACTATTATTCTTGAACCACTTCAAAATTAGTAGTTCCTAATAATTACTGCAAACCTACAGTAACGAAGCCAAAGGAGTGATGATTATGGAAATAGCCTAAATTTTCCACCGCGCTGTTTTTGCTTAAAATACACTACAAATTAATAAACTCAGCAGTGTTTGGTAGCAAAGGGGTTTTGGGGTTTTGGGGTTTTGGGGTTTTGGGGTTTTGGGG